ATCTGCAATATTAACTGAAATAGATAATTAGATAATTTTAGTACAGCTTATACCGTCCGTTATACATTAAACATATTATGCACATGCGTAGACACATTATGCATTTACGCATGCGCAGGAAGTTTGTAGCTTTGAGGTCTGGATTATGGACGTCCGAACTGAAGACTTTTGACTGTAGTAACTTTTAAGTTTTGTAGTAGTGAAATGCCGTTATTTTGTGTAAACAGAATAGTAAAATGAAATGATAAAATACTAGATGGATAAAACGAAGTCCATCATCTTTGCAAATAAAAACATAGTCCTATTTATGTAATTCATGATAAAACAGCATAATGAATAATAAAATAATAAATTGTATAACGCTTTCTTCAGACTTTAAAATTGTCAACCAAGTAAATATATTCAAATTCACTAACAACGGATGCATCATAAACTCACTTAAATAATATACAAGTTACTATTGTTGTAGAATTACAACTAAACACTTTCATTCAAACATTAAACATTCACATCTTTCGTTGCCACTGAAAGAACAAAACTAAGAGATAATTAACTGATGCGGAAACATTACTAAATAAAATTAATAAATATTCATAATTATCACTCACGTCATCTGAAATCCACTTCTCCCACCAACAACAGCTTAACCTCCTGCAAATATTCAGCAAAACTTTTAAAAACAAACAAAATATTTCAAAATTAAATTTTTAAAAAAATCTTCTGCTCACACTCATTACAAGCACCGAAATAAAGTTCTAGGTTTGCCACAGGAAAATAACCACAACCAAATCAAAATTGCAACAAATTAAAAGCTCTTGCCAAGTTTAGTACTCACCCCAATTATAGAAGATTAATCACTTTAATTATCTGATTAAAATCACTGTCAGTTTACTAATAATTAGTGTTTTTTTTATTTCCATGTGGCCATTGGAAAGGTAATAGGAAGATGAAAATGGAGTTTGATGATGATATAATCGAAGATGAAAATTTAAATAGCCATATTGAATTCCCACCTGAAGTTCAAAATGCTATTGAACAGGTACAGTAAATATATGTAGTTCAGTAATATTTTTTTTTACTTTTCAAGTGTTATTAAAAAAAGAGAAATTGATCATAACATTTTAGGAATGGTTGTCAAATCTTTAGGAAAGTGAATAGAATGTATTTTATGTATGTATGTGAGCTTTGATGGAGATTTTTTCTATTTTCTTTTTTGAACTGCCTTCAGAAAAGTCTTTCTCATTACCCACACATGCCATTATAACAGTTGTAAACTTATCTGGACAGCATTCCCAAACTCATTGATGACTAATTTTTTACCAAGTTTATGCTTGAAAGGCAGTAGCCATTTTCAAAATGGCAGTAAACTTAGAATTGCATAAAGGAATAGTCAATAAATTAAGGTAGGGGGAAAAAAAAAAGAAAGAAAGAAATATCAGTAATAAAACGCTCACTTTTCCTAGAAATTTTTGTGTCTTCCCCCCCCATTGTTGTTTATGCAGGAGTTTCTGTCATTTAAAAAAAAATTTCAGTGGATTACAGAAACTGGACATGTGTACAACTTTGGCATTGCACACCACCCAAAATAGACATAAGCTACATGCATACATGGTTTGCCACATTACTATTTTGGTGACATACAGTTTTGCCTCATGAATGCTTTTTTATGACATGTTGGTGAAGGGTGCAGGTAATAAAAAAATACCGATTATGTTATTGATATATTTTTAACCCTTTATTCTTAACAATAAAGTAGATAGAGTGGTGACCCTTGTATTATCCCTGAATGTGGTAAGATTAATTTGAAGTTTCTGTACGATTTGAAGAAAGGGAAAAGAGCTTACTGACTGGGTGAAGGAAGGTTACTTAGTACCATTATAATGCCGGTTGTATGAAGGAATGCGGTATGGTCGAACGCGAAGACCTGCACTACAGATTATTTTTGTGAATTTATAGCCGACGCATAACACACGATAGTTCAGATAATTTGGGAATTTTGGATCGTTAAGGATGTTTGACTGAAGATGTTAATTTGAAAAAGGAAAGGGACATTTTCTTTTGTGTAGTGCAAAGATATAAGTCTTTTTTATGTTATTTCATTTGATTTAAAATGGTTTATTGAGATTATGTATTTTTTTGTTGTCTGCTCCTTTGACTTTTTAAAAGAATATAGTTTGATGTGTACAAAGTCAAGAGAGCGGGCAATGTCTAGTTTGTGCAATTCTCTGATGTTTTTTAAGTGAAAATAGGTCGATGTGTACATGGATACAGTCAAAGGAGTGCACAATGCCAAGTTTGGGCAATTCTCTGATGCTTTTTAAGTGAAAATGTACATGGATACCAAGTTTGTGCAATTCTTTGTCTTATTATTTTGGTTTTGTGTAGTGGTGATTTTGGGGTTAAAAATTGCCGCTACACAAAGCCAAAATAACAAGTCAAAGAATTGCATAAACTCGGTATCCATGCACTGCCAAAAATCACCAATTTTCGCCAAGAGGTACCCGTAAACATATTTTTATCAACCTGGGCCTTTCGGTATAACAGTCGGCTGGCTCCCTTAACCTCCATACCATCTGGGCAGCTGATAAATGAAACTGAATCTTTCTAGATTTTAGTTATTAAAGTAGAAAATTTTTATTTAAATGTTTAAAATTAAATTTTGATTTAAATGATTTAAATCATTGTTTGATTTAAAATGTAGTTTATTGAGATTATTTATTTTTTTGTTGGCTGCTCCTTTGACTTTTTAAGTGAATATAGTTCGATATTTACATGGACAAAGTCAAGGGAGTGCGTAATGCCTAGTTTGTGCAATTCTGTGATTCTTTTTTAAGTGAAAATAGGATGTATACATGGATGCCAAGTTTGTGCAATTCTTTGTCTTATTATTTTGGAGCCAAAATAACAAGACAAAGCCAATTTTCGCCAAGGGATACCCGTAAATATACTTTTACCAGCAATTGTTCATTTAAATTATGTGTATTGTGTCATGAATATTTATGTGTATTATTATTTATGTGTATTATGTGAATTATGTGTATTGTGTAAAATGTGCAGCTATGTTTTAATACTTTAAAAGTTTTTAACTCAAGATTATTATATACAGATAAATAAATAAAAAGGTAAAAGCAGTTTTGAATTTGTTGAGTAATTATAGTACATTGAAGCTAATACAACATAGCACATTTCGTAGCTGACTATAAAGGCAGTTACAATTTAAACGTATTTCACATCCTCTTTATAATTATGAATACCACACCAATACCATATCACATTTTTAATCCACTAGATGTTCTATGTTCTTTGTAATTATATCTTAGTTTAACTCCAGTAATGAGGTTAAGAAAATGACATGAGTTTTAATAAGAAAATGACATGACTTTGAATAGCTTGAAAGCTTTAAAGAAATGAAGAAAGAATTGAAAAGTTCCACAAATACATTAATGTACATGTTGAGTATGAACAGTTATGTAACTGATATTTTCTGTGCACACAGTTAAGAGTTTTCCTTTTATTTCTTTCTTTCTTCTTTCTTTTTTTTTTTTTTTTTTCTTTTTTTTTCTTTTGTAATTTAAAGAGTTTATGTATTTTACAGAAATTTGGAATACTGAATCATTCAAGCTTCTTATCTGATAAGTGTAGTTACAGGATAAGAAGATTACCATTATTTCTTAATTTTGAAGTATTTAAGAAAATGAATTGTCTTTTTTTATGTTTACATGCATTTTAATTTTAAGGTTCTTCCAAGTACTGATCCTTTGGATCATCCCGATTTCAATGCTGTTGAGTACATTAATAAATTATTCCCAACTGAACAATCTCTGTCCAATATTGATGAGGTTACTGGTAGAATGAAAATGAAAATTAGGTAATTATTAGCATGGATAATCTGTTTCAGTAGTAGTGCTGTATTTTATATTGGATATTAGTTTTCATATATTCATCAAGTTTTCTTATCTTTTCTGTTTTATTTAAGTATTTAATAGTTATTCTCATAGCAATAACTAGATGTAAAACTTTTCAAATTTTAGACAGTTAGACGATGAAATACGTACTGTAGTTCGTGGTCAGACAAGTGTTGGTCAGGATGGACGGCAAGCTTTAGAGGAAGCTCAGAAAGCTATCAAACAGCTGTTTGCCCGTATAAAAGATATAAAAGATAAAGCAGAAAAGTCAGAACATATGGTATTATATTGTTCATCTTAAAGTTTTAAAAATGTAGTCATTGTCATCACAAATGTTGCATGGCTCTTTGAAATTGTTGTATGTAATAAATAGTAAATAACTAAGAAACTGTCTGATGATTATTAACCATTAAATGTACGTTACAAATATTTTAATTTTTTTAAATTAATTTTTAAATGTATTATCATTGCAATAATATATTTAGCTATATTAAAATTTGTGAAAATATGCTCTTTTATATTATATAAATAATTGTAACTAAAAAAAATTAAACATATGAATTACATTGTTGTATGTACAGAAACAAATGTTTCAGGATATTCCTTTAGTGCTGTCATATAATGTTTTTGTTTTTCATAAAGGTATATAATATATGAATAACTTTATAATAATGATATATAAATGTGTAATTTTGAAGATTTTGAACATACACAAGACTGCATTATATGGTTAATTTAACAACTGCATTGATTGTATAATATTTGAGTAGAGTTAATGTATGAACCTCTTTTTTAATAGAAATTTTTTTAATTTAAAAAATAATTTTTTAATTATATATAAATAAGCCAATTTTTTAAAACTAATCTTTAAAACTAAATTTACTGATATTATACATAAAAACTGATGATGCATTTTTTATATTGCTATTAGGTAGCTCAGTCTTGTAAAACTCTGTGTGCTCCATAATTTTCTAAACCAAGATGAGAAAATAGCAACTGTGTATGTAGTACACTTTGACTATATTCAAAATACATTTCTCGGGATTCAGTAGATTGAATGCAGTACTATATAGCTTTTAAAAAAATTGCTGGAAGTTTTTGATATGATAATGACTCAGTCCAAACACTTTGAATGCCTACGGAAACATCAAAATATGTCTCTTTCAACTGAAATTCTTGTTTAGGAAGAGAAGATAGTTAGAAGGAGAGAGATCAAGAAAATAGAAAAATGATCAGTCAGAATAATCCTCTTGGTGGACAAAAATTGATAGTTGATCACAGACTGGTGAATTGGAGCATTGTCAATTAAAGGGGGCTGTGTGCTTTGTTGTTGGTATTGTGGCCATTCACATTGGATTTTTGCCCTTCAAAACTAAGTTCTAAACTTCAAAACTGAAACTTCAGTTACTTCAAAAGTAAGGTAGAACTCTCATGTGATCATCTAACCATTGGGGAAAAGTTTGTGTGACTGACACCTACGTAGTTGAAGAACATGATTAGCTTAAAGAGAGTAAACTTTCATGGGTTTGGGGAACCCTTGCCTCTTCCAAACTCAGATCTGATACTTTGTTCATGTTCACTGAAATTTCTGTCTGTAACCTAATCAAGTCTAAGTAATGTTCAAATCTTTAGTTTTTCTAGTTATTAGTGAATGTGAAATGAACAGTAAAACACTTTTCATTTGTCCAAATTTTCTCCTAAAGTGATAGCAACTATAATTTTAAGTATTCTAAATTCTTTCATTAGTCTGGACGATACATGCCAGTCATCCAGCAAAATATGGTAAATTTTTTTAACTCTCTTGATGCACATTGAGTGTGGATTCCTTGTGCATTGGTTATCATTGCAATTAATCCTACTAATGTAGAAAGCAAAAATACTGGCCGGTGTATCATCTCAATGCATTTGTTTTAGTAAGTCATAAATTTTGATTGCAATTATGCCAAATTTATTTTAAAATTTTATATTTATTCACTGCTTGTTTTTTGTTTTCTACATGAGAACTAGGTTGTATTGCTATAACGTTTTAGCAAAGCTTTCCTCAGCATTCAGATTTGCTTACAAGAGAAAGAAAGTATCAGAGTAATTAAAGACAGTTGTTTTTCTAAATCATGTAGTGTGTATATGAACTATAATGACTGTCTGGAAAAGTAGGGGGTCATACTATGGAAGTGTAATTTAATTAAATTTCTGGTTTTAGGAGTAGAAAATGTATTCATTTAGTTTATCTTGATAGTAATTTTAAAATATTTAAAGTCAAACTTTAAGCTTATTGATGTAATTATTCAGTAATCCTAAGTTTTACTATGTAGCATTTAAACATTAGTTTTACTATGTAGCATTTAAACATTAGTTTTATTATGTAGCATTTAAACATTAGTTTTACTATGTAGCATTTAAACATTAGTCTTACTAATTAATTTTTAACTTTTTAAATTTTATCCTGAACATTATGCACTTGCTTTCCATGCTTTGGCCTAGCTAGAATGCTGTCTGTCTGCTGCTGCTTTCTTGCTACAAAGTTATCAAAAATGTAAGTCTTTTGGAACAGACACATTTAATGTGCTGACTTTTAATGAACTATAATGACTGTCTGGAAAAGTAGGGGGTCATACTATGGAAGTGTAATTTAATTAAATTTCTGGTTTTAGAAGTAGAAAATGTATTCATTTAGTTTATCTTGATTGTAATTTTAAAATATTTAAAGTCAAACTTTAAGCTTATTGATGTAATTATTCAGTAATCCTAAGTTTTACTATGTAGCATTTAAACATTAGTTTTACTATGTAGCATTTAAACATTAGTTTTATTATGTAGCATTTAAACATTAGTTTTACTATGTAGCATTTAAACATTAGTCTTACTAATTAATTTTTAACTTTTTAAATTTTAACCTTTTTAAATTTTACCTGAACATTATGCACTTGCTTTCCATGCTTTGGGCCTAGCTAGAATGCTGTCTGTCTGCTGCTGCTTTCTTGCTACAAAGTTATCAAAAATGTAAGTCTTTTGGAACAGACACATTTAATGTGCTGACTTTTAATGAACTATAATGACTGTCTGGAAAAGTAGGGGGTCATACTATGGAAGTGTAATTTAATTAAATTTCTGGTTTTAGAAGTAGAAAATGTATTCATTTAGTTTATCTTGATTGTAATTTTAAAATATTTAAAGTCAAACTTTAAGCTTATTGATGTAATTATTCAGTAATCCTAAGTTTTACTGTTATGTAGCATTTAAACATTAATTTTACTATGTAGCATTTAAACATTAGTTTTACTATGTAGCATTTAAACATTAGTTTTACTATAGCATTTAAACATTAGTTTTACTATGTAGCATTTAAACATTAGTCTTACTAATTAATTTTTAACTTTTTAAATTTTATCCTGAACATACGCACTTGCTTTCCATGCTTTGGCCTAGCTACAATGCTGTCTGTCTGCTGCTGCTTTCTTGCTACAAAGTTATCAAAAATGTAAGTCTTTTGGAACAGACACATTTAATGTGCTGACTTGTGTGTAGTTGCTACATGTTGTAGGTAAATAATATATGAATAACTTTATAATAATGATATATATATGCTGACTTGTGTGCTACATGCTGACTTGTGTGTAGTTGCTACATGTTGCTGAAAATAAAACAGATGATTTAATCTGCCTTCACCTCCAATTTCCTAGTCATTATGGATCAACAGTTGTACATTCATTGCTTCTGAGTTTGAATCTACTACATATATATATATATATATATATATACATATATATATACTAGCTTTACCTGCGGCTTCGCTTTTGTTATGCCCTTAAAATAAGTTTCAACTCCGCGTAAAATTTCAGTAAATACTGCCCTTCTTCAGTACCTATATGTCACGGATATTTTGTATTTACAGCTGACCAAAGGGTTATTTTTAAAAATAAAGAACATTCAAGCTCCTTAAAATAATAAAACAATAGTTGTTATTCCGCACAGTAAAATGCAAAAAATATGAAATGTAAAAGCAATTTTTCAAACAACAGTAACAGAAATATATAACATAAATAAATAGATCTTTAAAAAATATGAAACAAAACATTAAATATATCTCAAAAGTCGAAGTGTAGATAATAGTTTCAAGTCGGTAAGTTAATTAGAAGTCAAGTTATAAATTTTTTAATGATTTTTCACGTGAGTTTTGACCTTTTCGCCAACCCAAAGGTTGATCGGATAACAGCTACCCCCCACAAACACACACACGGTCCGTCAATTTGAATCGCAGCCTGTCAACAAAGAGTTAACAATAGCAAGCGGAGTATTGTTTTATCTGTGATTAAACTGGAAATAATTAAGCGACAAAAACAGTTCCACCACCATTGTTCTTATCATTCAAAGTGAGACACAAGTTTCTAAATTTCAAGAAATTTGGATAATTACATGAAAAGTTATAATTTTTCTCACCAAGTTATTGGACCCACACATGAAGACCTATGAAATGTCGCTATTGAGTTTCATTCAAATTAGCGTTTTCAGAGTTTTTAATTAATATCTTAACTGATTAAAATCATACAAAGATGAGAATGGTATTGATGGATTCCGACGAATTTTTGTAATCGGGATATGTGTCTCGAAATTCAACTAACTGCCGTTCCATAGGTATTTGGGAAAAAGTAAATTGGCGTGTAGCCAAATCCCTTTAATAGGGAGAAACCCAACAAAGTAAGTGAAAAATGTTGGAGAAAAGTATTTTTTAATTAATATCTCGGCTAATTAAAGTCGTACGAAGACATTTTATAGACTAATGTATCAAAAATATTTCTTGAAAATTTCGCAATGATCGGTTAAGTAATTAAGGTGTGAAAGCATAACTCACTCGCATTTATGATATTAGTAAGGATAAGGATATCTTTGTGCATTATTTCTACTGGGAACTTTGGTGTACACTGGGTTAAGGAACTTTGGTTAAGGATGTAAAGCAAAAACAGTTTCATTTATTAAGACTATTGAATTTTTAATTTATTTTTTTGCAACATATTAGGTTTTATGTTTTTTGTCTTTTTATTTTTAAGGTTAAAGAAATAACTAGAGACATTAAGCAGTTGGATCATGCCAAACGACACCTAACTGCTTCAATTTTGACTCTGAATCAGTTACACATGCTAGTTGATGGTGTAGAGAAATTGCAGTAAGTAACGTATCGTCTAAATATTATTTTCAATGTAATTTATATGTTTTCTATCAATTATATATTAGAAAATTTTTAAAGCTACAGCTTTAAATTTTTTAAGTATGTATTGTATTATAATTTTACTGTTATTAATCTGAAGTGGATATTCTGCGATTATCTTGCACACTACCAAAAAGTCACAAAAATGCATTCATGAGGCAAAGTTTTATGTGACCAAAATTATTATATAGCAACCCATGATACTGTCAAAAAGTATTTATGTGGCAACTGAAATAGATTACTGTGAACATACAAAGAACAACAAAAAAAGAAACATTTCTCAAAAAAGATAAATATTTTACTACCAATGTTTCTTTCCATTTTTATTTTATTGATTAATTACTCTTGTATGGAATTCTCAGTACACCATCATTTTAAAAATTATTATTGCATTAGCTTGGCAAAGAATTAGTAATTAAGAAGTTCACAGCCTTTCAGTGGAAGTGCCGATAATCAGAAAATACTCTCAAATATTATAGTTTACTTTAACTTGTTCTTATTTGTAACCTCGAGAAATGCATGTATAGTTATCTTGTTTGTTATTAAAAAATAACATTGTGAAAATTATTTCTTGTCTCAGTACTAACTGCCAAGGTACAGAAAATTAAGATAACTAAATCAAAACTTTCGGTAATGATGTAGTATATGATCTATTGCTTTTAGTTTATTTTTAGATTGCATCACTAAAATTCATTGTTTAATCCTTTTTCATGTCATTTAATTTCAATTTGAATATGGAAGCTATTGAATTTTTTATTTTATAAAGCTATTATTATTTAATTTTGAAGATATTGAAATTTATTGTAGAAACAACAGGGAAAAACATGATGGAATCCATTAATAAAAGTGTTGATAACTTTTTTTTTTTTTTTTCCATCCTGCATGACATTTGTGACATATATTGCTAAATGACTTTTAAAAATGGCTTTTTAAGGCGATTATCCTGCTTTTGTTGTATAAAACTGAACGGAATTTAATGGGTATATTAAATTAATCTATGAAAACAATTTAATTTATGTGCACGTAATTATTTGTATTTATGTTCATATTTAAAAGTAGTGCTTTAGAGGCACCATCTAAGAATAAGAAATAGCTAACTAAAAGTAGTAGATTACGTACTATAGCATTACCAAATTTTTTATATTCTTCAACAGACTGATAATTCTGCATAGCAAAGTACTAATTGTATCTATTACTTTCATCAAGCTATGCTAATTTAACATTTTCATAAATAAATCTAGGTGTCCCTTGGCGATAATTGGGGATTTTTGGCATTTGTAAGTGTAATTCTTTGACTTGTTATTTTGGATTTGTGTAGCAGCGATTTTTCTGCCAAAAGTTGCCGCTACACAGATCCAAAATAATACGTCAAAGAATTGCACAAACTTGGTATCCATGTACTCATTGACCTATATTCACTTGAAAAGTCAAAGGAGCAGCCAACAAAAGGTATATAATCTCAATTACATTTTAAATTCAACAATGAAGTAACATAAAATAGGAAATTCATCTTAGCACTACACAAATGAAATATCCACTTATCTTATTTACGAGTCTTCAGTGTCAAACAAAGTTCCTTAACAGCATCCAAAAACTTCCTAAAATTATCTGATATAGAATGTATGTACTGGCGTCGCCACATAAATTCACAAAAATATCCTCTAGTGCCGTTATCGTTCTGAGTTCGACCATATGCATTTCTTTTCTACAAACAGGACACTTATAATGACTACTTCGTTTACACACCAGTCAATTAATGCTTTTTTCCACTTTCATTCCAAATCATACAGAAACTTCAAATTAATCTTACCACATTCATCCATTTTGCCGTGTAAACCACAAAATAACCACTGTACTTCTTAAGGAACATCTAACACAAACAAACTCTTAATTTTTTCCCGTCATTCAAAATGACCGCAATCAGGCAACCAATTACATCATAGCATTCATCTACTTCATAGCATTCAACTACTCAGGTTACCATAAATGAAACAACTTGGTGATAAATGAAACAACAACTTAGCGATAATCCAAGGGGCACCCTTAAATCTACTCTAACCATTTTCATCATTTATAATTTATATAACATGCTATTTTACAAACAGTTTCTGATTTATATTGCCAATAGCATATGTGCAGTTTATTTTCATTTAAAAACTAATATTTCTGTCTTCCCATTCCCTAAACCTACAAGCATAACTAAAAATATCAAGTATATAAGATGACAATCAATTGTTTGCAAGTGTTATTAAAATATATTTGCTTACTTTTTACCTTATTCTCTTACATTTGTTCCAGAATACTTCCAGTTAAAATGTAAGAACCAAACTCACACCTCCTTTTGTAATCAAAACACATCAGAAAGGAATTTTTTTCTTTTTTAAAATTGTGCTTTTGCTGTTCTTTATCAATTTTGTTTACAGTGCCACATCCTTTTCTTTTCAGTTTAATTGTGATTTTCAGGAAAACAGCTATCTAAAGACACATCTTAACTTTTCTATGTGAAACTGTTTATAGTAAAACAGAAATTGCATATAGAAAAAAAAGGTGTTGTACAGTGAAATGCTGGTATAATATTGCTTATTCCCCTCCCCTTTTTTAATTGATTGAAGATTGCTAATATTATTAATATTATTAATATAACTCCATAAGTAGTTTTATCTGTCAATTTTCCCCCTTTACTTTTGTGTATCTAAATGCATTCTGAGCTTTTAAGAGTATGCCTGTTGCTTTAAAGCTCTTTAAAAGTGATTTGATGTATCGTGATGTAGGAATTGCATTGGATGTCCCATGTGCTTGCCGATTAACAGGTATGGAGACTTAAATTAATATATAACTCTGCAAAATTTTAATGCTTTTATAATAGAAGTGTAAAAAATAAACAGTATTAATAAACAGTATTAATAAACAGAAAGTGTTATAGAAAATAAACAGTAAATGTTAGAATGAAATAATAAGGCTAGTTCAAAAGAAATGCACTAAAAAGTTTAAAATTGTGGGACCTCAATAGTGGTGCAATTTATAATGCCTTAAATTAGTCTTTGGGTTAGTATACTGCTTTTCAAATCAGTATGTTTATTTATCCTTACTATAAATTAAAGTATGTAATGCAATCTATGCTTCTTTATAAATTTATCTGACCTTAATGATGCTTTTAATAATTCATATTTTGTACTATATCCGTTTTAAAACTGTAAAAGCTCTTAAAGCTCTTTTTAAATTCAAACTAATACATTTATAGAGTGTTAGTGAAGAAGCGTCAGTATGGTGAAATTGCCAATCTTCTTCAAGGAGTTACCAATGTGCTTGATCATTTTCAAAAATACATGGGCATTCCACAGATAGCTCGATTAGCAGATAAGTAAGCATTAAGTATTCTTATTTTAATTATCATATTATTTGTTTCCTTTCTTAATGCTGAGAAAATTAATTATATGTAAACTTTATTCATGTCCTTAGGTCCCAAAGTATTAAAGCAGATTTAACTGAACAGATTACGAATGATTTCCAAAATGCTTTTGCTGGGCCAAATTCCAAGGTAAAAATGATAAGTTTAAGAGAAAAGGGAACAGCAGTTATTATTGGGAATTAGTATAGTATAATTCTAATAATGCAGACTAACTGAGATTGTTGTTGATTCTGAAGATCTGGATAATTATATACCTTTTTTTTTTTTTTTCCTGTTGGGCAGTTACTTAATTACTATAAAGCAAGTGAGGGACATTTTTCATATATGATATTTTGTTTCAATTAAGATTAGAAGTAAATAAAAGTAATAATAATAATGAAAAGAGGTTTTATACAAACCAGTTCTTTTATGTCATTCATGAATTTTTAGAGAAAAATAATTGATTATATAGTTTAATTCAAAAAAGAGATTAAAAAAATTCTCTTTACAAATTTCAGTTTATAGCATGAATAATAAAAATGGGGCACTCTTGATAATAACACATAGGTATTTACTTATTTTATTTAACACTTGATTTAAAGTAGTCTGAACATTTCTAGAATGATTTCATCAAGCTAGACGCATCAAAAGTATCAGATTGTACACATTCAGTTTTTCCTACTACAATCAAACAATAATTTTATTTCAATCATGCTTAAGTTCTTGCATAAAAAGATTGTACAGTACAAAGTCCAAGATCTGAACTTGTTGAGACTTCTGTGATTCCGGATTTGGGATTCTTCTGGATATTAGATCATCAGTTTAAAACTTGTAAGATGGCATATAGAAATTATAAAATTAAAAATATGAAATCATGATTTATGAAATAATGAAGCATTTATAATCTAGGGTAACAAATTTTACAAAAAAGCTTAATATCTATTTGTTTACTTTATTAAACATTTCTTTCAGTGTAAGTTTGTTTAAGTTGCTTTTTTTTTTTTTTTTTTTTTTTTTTGGTGCTATTTTCTTTTTAATTCTGTAGAGAGACATAATTTCTTATTCAGTTACAGTGTTCCATTGTTCAAGTCCTGTAATTGCTGTTTTGAGAATCCCAACTAACTTGTCAATCGAAATTTTTATGTTTCATTAACTTCTCTGTTACTTTCTTCACTATCGGTAGCGATATTTTCTGGATTTAGAACCATACCTACAGATTTTGCCATCTGTTAATTTATTGATAATTGGGACATTGTGATTGCAATGAAGAGCTTCTGTTATATCATCTTCATTTATTACTGCTCCTCTACATGTCTTAAAAAAATCCATTAATTGGAAAATTTGACCTTTGAACATTCCAATTCGTGGCTATCATCTTCACCAAGAAACATGCTAGCTTGACCGTAAATTATGCCAAGCAGTTTTTAAAATATCTGTAGATCCTCCCACAATCTTGTGATGCTCCACAAAGCAGATTTTACACTAAAATATGTTTTAAATTCTTGAATAGTTTTGCCATTATTCAAGAAATTTAACATGGATTTAAAAAAATCTACTTTATATTTGCATTTTCAGCATGCCCACTATTTCAATATCTACAGGCTGAATGATGGACGTTTAATTTGGAGGAAAGAATACGGGCACACTATCTTTCGCTAAAATTTTTAGTGAAGCATGAGCCGAACAGTCGTCTACAATCAGGGCAATTTTTGCATCATCATACAAACTAATTGAATTCTGCTAAGCCTCAGGTATGAAATAATTTTCAAACCAACCGTTCATTAACAGTCATGTCATCTGGGTTCTTTTATTTGCTCGATATAACAATGGAAAACTCCTTACTCTTTTAAATGCTAGAGGTCGTGTATTTTTTCCGATTGCGAAAAGTTTACACTTGCGTGTTCCTGCAGCATTTGCACAGGCTAAAACTGTCTGGCTTTGGAATCTGGCACGAGTTGGAGCCTTTCTTATAGAGGTCACCAAGATATTTTACGGTACATATAGCCAGAAAAAAAAACCAGTTTCATCAGCATTGTAAATTTGTTCTGAAGATAACTTTTAACTCAATGAGGTCAATGAATTCATCTGCAAATAATTCAGCAGTTTCAGTATCAGCTGAAGCTTTTTAATCTGAAATTCTCAATTTTATACCATTGCGATTTTTAAATTTGGTTAATCAACATGTTGAATATGTGCGCTCTGTTTTAAGTTCATTTCTTAGTGAAATATTTTAGCTAGAGACATTAGCATTTGGCCCGTCAATGGCACGCCCTTGCTGTGATGCTGTCTGACCCATTCAGTCATCACTTTGTAACATCTTCACTTTTAGCATAACAAATAATTTTTCTGTTATTCAATGCGAGTGGAGTGTTGGAATCCACAAAAAATTCAAAAAGTTCCTTTTCCTATTTTATGTCATGTGCAGTTGACTTTCCAATGCCATACTCCTCATATTATTTTCAGATGGATATATCTTTATCCATTTCTTGCAGCAGCTCCACTTTTTGTTTAATGGACATCGAAACATGCTATCATTTTGTAAATCCTCTTGCAGCTCCAAAATTAGAAACTCTTTTTCACATAATCAAAAATTGAAACTTTAATTTTCAGAAAACTGCTGTAATATTAACAGCATGCAAAAAATAATAAGCTGGATCAAATCAGAAAGTTAAGGAAAACTGCTATATTAACTGAAATTCCTTGGAATCAGTAAAATATAATTTTAGCCTAGCTAAATTGTGTTCACTACACATTATTGGTTACATAGCATTAGACTGGCGATGAAAGACAAGTTGATCTGCGAAACTTTGTCTTGCTCCTATCACGCACTGAGACAATTAAGCCTGATTGAGTTAGTTTTGTTATTTATTATACTCACCTTTTTTTCTTGCACATGCTCAAGGCTTATCTGAGTCCTGAATAAATAAATTCCCATATATATTTAAGGTTTATCGATTGCCTGCGCTAGATATCTAACCGTCTGATGCAGTCTACGGGTCCTAAATTCTGCTATGAAGCGCCTTTCTAAATTCTAAATTTTTGCTGCCTCTGAATTTTGGATCCCAGTGCTTTCCCTGAATTCTGTCGTCCAGTTCGGCTATACTAACTCTGGCATGGTTCTGGGTTTATGTGAAAAACAAATCTGTTATTCTTAATTCAAATCGCACTAAATGTAATCTTATCCTTTAGCTTATGAATACTATTAACATCTACATTTAGCATTTAACTTAAATTTATATTCATTGCCAAGCGTAATATCAACATTAAAGGTTACCATACTCTTTGTTTATTAAATTATTAATATAAAAAAATTGTTTGGGCATTCCTGCATGAGTCATCACTCAGGTTGTCATGTGTTGATAACCATGCGGTGATGAAAGCAAACTATAGTAAATAATGATTCGCCAATTTGGCATCAGGAATATAAAATATTCAGTTTGAGATGTATGCCAAGTATATAGCTAGCTACGGAGCCAAACTGTTGATCTCACAAATTTATGCTAAATTTCTGTTTCCTCAATAGCGAGGTATTTATTTAGTGCTGAAAGGAAATTAAAGGACTCTCCGTGTGTTTTATTTAGGGAGGGAAAAAAGCAAATGTGCTAGCATAAAGCATTTTTTAAAAGTTGTTAGCGGTTTTGAGGTCCAGATATTGGACGTCCGATCTCGGACTTTGTACTGTATTTAAAAAAATGGAAAAATTAAGAAAATTTGCAGTGAATTTACAAAAATACTGGCTTATACTTTTGGCAATGCAATACTTTGACATTCCTTCAATTATTAGATTTCATTATTTAGGTGGCTACGCTTCTGTTATTCATAATATAAAAATATAGATGAATTTGGGGAAGAATCATTTAATCTCTTTTTTTTCCATTAAACCCAATGACAAATTAGTTTTCATCTTCTTTTTAGTTCATTAATTATTTTAGACATTTGAAATAAAAGTATACATTTTTTTTTATAAAAGCTTTTCTGTTTTAATTTACCGTATTTGACTGCATATAAGACACACTTTTTTTTCCTAAATTTGGTCTCAAAAAAAGTTACTTATACGTGAAGGACACAGGTTAACTTTCAATACTGAATGCTATTTTTAGCCCGGATAAAGGTCTAGACACGCATAACTTTTTCTACATCTACATGTGTGTGGCCTTCTAAATAAGGGTGCGTCTTATATGCCGTCAAATACGGTATTTTATTTTCTACTTTTTGGACGTGTCATCTGTATTCAATTCAAAAATTAATTCATTTTTCTTCAATAGTTATTATTTACAACATTAATGAAAAATATATTATTTTTAACTATACATTAAAATAAAAAAATAAAATAATAATAATAAAAAAATTCATATATTTCATCTTAAACTATATTAGATGGCATGCTGTCATTTTCTCCATTTATGCTAATGCTTTATTGTTTCATATTTTTTCAATCAGTTTTGAGATATGCAAATCCTCAATTTTATGCCCTTCTAATGGGTTTATTCTGCTAAGAGCAACATATGCTTGACCTACTGTGAATAAATTGTTTCCTAAATAAATTGCTGCATAATCTACTGTTGTAGCCTTTGATAAAAATATAAGAAGCATTTTCTATCTTGTAAAACATCAGTATCATACGAATCAATTGGTTTTTCACTATCATCTTGTTCTTTCCTATAATATGGTTCAAATAACATTGTGAATTGTAAAAAACTCATGCTTTAAATGTTGTATTCATTCTTGCAATGAAGTAGGACATTTTTCATACTATTCAAAGACATTCTCACAATATCCAATTTCTCATCCTGATGCATCAAGTTTCATAACCTTGTAGTGCTGGTGATATTTCAGTGTATTTAAGAAAATCATTTTCTAGATTAAAATGCTGTTTTGCAAATTAAGATGAGCATAATTCGAGAACATGTTCAAATCTGATAACATAAGTTTGCAAGTTTCTTGCAAAACCTTAATATATATTTTGGAACAGTTTGTGAGTTATTTAATTTTCCTCACTCTCTGTTTATCAGTTTGTTTTTTTCAATTTCAAGACTCAATTCTGTTGGTTCAGCTTTGTACAAATACATCCCAATATAATATTGTATTGCTTTTTTTTTTTAACCACAGGTTTGTATATCTATATTCTCTTTCCACATTTTAAGTATAGC